TGAGTCTGATTTTATAAAATTTAATAATCTAATTTTTTTAAAAATTATTTTTTATCTAACTATATCTTTTTAAAAATAAACTGTATTGCTATGATAAAATATTTTTTTGATACCATCTCAAAATTAAAATATTTTTGAATAACATATGATCATATAATAAAATAAAATAAATTATTAAATCTAATTTTGCATAAACATATTATATAAAAACTACATTAAAAAAAAACAATAACAAAAAAAAGGTGTCAAAATACATGGAGAAAAAATCTGTGCTAATGGGCGTGGATAAACTGTTTTCCCCTCGTCTTTTTTGCTTTATACTTATTTAATTAATTAATTAATAATGAAGGTGCAGGGATTTAGGAGAAGATAAAAGAGAAGGAAACACAGAACAGTTATGTTCCACCTTCTCTCGAAACAAGAAAATGGAGTCGAGAGTAGAGGTACTGGTCTTTTTGAATACTCATTAGTATTAAATTCCATAGCTCTCAACACAACTAACTTTGTTCCCTGACGTTTTCCAAAATGGCAACAGATCATTGGCAGCAATGTGCGAGTAATTTTATAGTGCTCGGAATAGAGCTCACTTCAGAAAAGAGAGATACACAGGGAAGAATTTAGATGTAATCCCCATTGGCTGTCATATTTCAGCTGCCATTCAGAACCCATGGCATCAGAGAGTTAAAGAGACGAAGGGAGAATTGAAGGCAGCTTATCAAACGCCATTCAAAAACCCATTATCAAAAATTAATTTTCAAGATTCATAGTTAGAAACTACAGAGTATACCAAACACTACCACTACCACACTAAAGATTCTCACACGGACACGGACACGGACCAGGACCACCCTTACAGAAAAATCAAAACTATGGATCCAGCCACTCAATGTCAATACTCAATCTTCAAAATCTCCAGCATTTTCCAATAGATAGTTGGCTGCCAGTTGCTCATTGCGATCACAAGCCAAGAATGCTTCTATGACAAGGGCTCTATCAAAACCCATTGCCTCGAGCTGTAACAGGTGAAAGGAGAAAAACAGAGGCAATGTTTCAAAGAATAACAAAGAAGAAAATCCCAAGACAGAATAAATGAAATGATATAGGCATACCCGTTCAATAGCTTCTTGTTCAGCTGGGGTCACATTGATAGCATGGGGCATATCTTGGTCAGGCTGATCAAATATATCCCTGAGAATAACAGATTATACCATATTGTGACATTAACGATCAGGGTGGATAAATAATCTAGTTTTCTGCAGACAGCATATCTTTTATATATATATAAAACCAAACTATTAAATGACTTCTCAGGCCAATCCTAGGATCCAACACATGGTTGGTCTCAAACCCAAGGCTTGCATTTTCCACCAAGGCATATGCCAACAGACCGCATAGGCATTGGGAAAACTAATTTTTTTATTATAATTAATGACAACCTATTTTTAAGGTTTTTGAATATCAAAACCAAGAAAAGCCAAAAGTTCACTCATTTCAGGCTCATGCCAACTAAATTCCAACACGTTTGAGCTCAGTAATTATTCCAGTACGCCAGCTTAACTGAAGCTTGTACATGGCGCCTTAGAGCCCATATAAAACTAAAGACTTGCTTACTTCACCATACAGTAATATTAAATAAATTTGCAGTTAACAAAAGACAAGTTACAACTCAAAACTGACAGTATATCAAGCCCCACATCCTGGGGCCTGCCAGATTTAATCCCAATTAAACCAGCATCACACGAATGCCAGGAAGGTGTGGGTGCTTTCCATATCAGACAACTCCCCCACCACCCGGCCCTCTTTTATGGATTAAGTGGTGTCGTATAGCATGAAACCATCATTTTTCAAATGTCCAACACCATCACCATTTCTATCATAGAAATTGTGGAAAAGATTTATGTGTAACAAATATGAAGTACATCAATAACTACCCACACTCATGATGAAGAGCTAACCTAATTGACCAACATCTGCTAGATCCCTTCATCTTTCAATGAACCAGGATACATGCTTTGAATTTTTTTGAGATTCCACTAAATACACCAATAAAGATACTCACCCTTCAGAACCATCAAGAGGTTCATTTATTAACTGAAGAAACTCTGCATGATGCTCTTGAATAATTCTCAAAAGCTGGGGGTTTTGCTTCCCAAGCTCCTGAAGCATGGGCTGTAACAAAGTGGCTGATTAAACCTCAAGACAACAAATGTCGATATAGAAAAATAATAAATAAAGAAATGTAAAGCACCTGCAAGATTTGTGGATTTGCTTGAACCATTGAACGCAATGCTTGAAACTAAATGCAAGAAAGATAGAAAAAATGAAATTATTTGATATCATGTATGAAATTGATAATCACTGCAAATCCTATATCAAACAATATCAATTGTTATTTGGCGCTTGGCATTAAATGACATATATCAACTTGATAACCATTAGAAATCCTAAATCATGTCTTATCAAAGGTTAATTTGGCAATGGCATTAAATGAAAATTTAGCACCCACCCCAAAACCCATCTAAGCAAGTCAAGCAAAATTGTTAAGGTTTAGTTATACAATCATACCTAAATATTTCCTGCCTTTATCCATGATTCTCTCACACAATTTATTACCCTATTTCTAAATCCAATGCCATGAAAGATTGACATGAATTGTGAATACCAATGAGTTTAGCATTAAAATGCATTGCATTTAAAATCCAACCATACTTGTTGATTGTTTCTAAGGAAATCAAGAGAGCCAAGCCCGCCACCAGCACCACCTCCACCACCAGAAATTGTCTGCTGGACAAGTTCCAAATCAATAACACCAGCAAACACTATACAGTTAATACATTATGAAAACCTTCTAAAATCTGAAGTTTACCTCAGGAAACATATTCAATGGAGATGAATTAGGTGCTCCAAATGCAGGTGCAGGGGCAGCTGGAGCTGCACCTGTTTCAGTAGCCTGATCTGCAGGAAACCTAGCCACTGGGACAGCAACTTCTGCTGTTTCTGGAATGCCCTGAAGACAGAACACTGGTTTCAGCGTGCTAATTCTAAGAAAAGACTGTAACAGGCTACACACTAAATTTAGACTTACCGAGTACAAGTAATCCACTGCCCGCTCTGGGTTATTATAGGCAGCTCGAAGTGCACGAGTAACTATTTCTTTATCCCAGGTTCCACCTCCCATATCCATTATTTGCTGAATAGTCTGCTCCAAATTACTACCAGCAACTAAATTGGAAGCAGCTTGTCCATAAGTATCACTCTGTGCACTGCAGACATGGTATTATCACCATTAGAATAGTCAAGAACTAAAGCTGTGAATTACAGGTTACAGATTTATTAACAAAGTAGATTTTATAAAATGCCCTCAACAAGATCTCAGATAGTTAACCCACACTTGCTAAAAATGCAAAGCAAGAATTACATCAAACTGATGTGGATCACGCAATTACAACATGCACATATGAGTAATATTTAGGTGTCAATATTAAAAGAGAAGAAACCAGCCTTTTCTTTTTAGGAAATGCTAATGGCTACACTACGAAATAAAGAGAAAAGGTGTACTCTGTGAAATTGCCAGAAGAAGATTTCCTTAAAGTGTCAGACATGCAGACTGCTATTCCATGTGTAAGAGGGAGAACATGCATTGGACCACTCAAATCAATTTTGGTATTGACAGGCATGCCCTCTCCTTGAACGCATTATCCAAGAACTGAAGGAGGCAAAACTCAAACTAGCTACAAGTTACCAAACTGATCTCTCTATTTTACCCAGCATTAAAAATAAATAGCCATGCCCTCTACAATATCTAATCTGTCTTTTATAGAAAATTGCATGAGCCTAGGATGATGCTTTAAATGCACTTTAGCTTCTTATATTCAGGACAACTCACACTAACAAGTGATGGAAACTATCCACAAGAAGCAGTTCAAATCAATTGGATGGCTGACAATCCTCATTACAACATGTATGGTTATATGGAATAATGACCAATGTAATCCCTAATAGCAAAGAGTAAATTTGTAACTTAATATCAGAAGAAGTTTCCAACTCTGGTTAGAAGTTGAGGACATAATTGTCTTAAAATAACTTGAATCCTCTTAGATATCCCAATAAACCAAATTTTATCTTCAAGTTTCTTGCTATATAATTTTGAGATCTCATAAATGTTTCAAATGTGGCTTGAGTAGAAAGAATAGAAAGGAGATGTGCATTATAAGCAACAAAATCATTTGAGGTCGTTGCTGAACTTCCACGACAGACTATAAAGATTCTTCCTCAAAACAAAACCACATAAACCAGTAGCCTCAACGGGAACTAAGTTTTACATACTATATCAATATTATGCATTTACAAATAAGAATTACAGCCCTATTATCTTAAAATAACCAAAATATGCATAGTGCAACTGGAGATAGGGCATACTTGGCTGTTGTTGAGTCAGAAGCAGATGCACTCTTTGAGTCCCTGCAGTGAAATATTTAATATATAAGAAAGATGAATTCAGTTACTCCAGAATATTTAAGCACTGAAGATATATGTGGTATAATTAAACTCACAATGCTTGAGCATCAGGTGCGGGAGTCGAAATTGAAGTTGGTGTGGTGGTAGGTGGAGTAGAAACAGGCTGAAGTACATAATAGAAGGAAAAAGGCTTATAAAAAAGAATAGAAATAAATACAAGAGCAAGATATACCAGAAGAAAAGTAGAAAACAAAGGGTGAAAATACCTGGGTGGAAGAAGTACCACCTGTGCCTGTTTTACTCTGTATATAGCATATACATGGAAGAACATGTTAAGGTTCAAGCAACCAAATGAAGCATTAAATCATAAATTCCACAATAGCGCATGCAGTTCATGAATAAAACAAATATTAAAAAAGATGCTAACGACAAATACTTATAAACACAAGCTAATGTGCTTGCAAACGCTTCATGCAGCTTCTAATGATATATTAATTGGAAAATGCTATTAAGCGCCCTTAGGGCACCCTTAAAGTGGTTAGTAGTAGTTAAATGTTGTAAGAATTAGACAAATTTGATTTCAAGTTTTCATCCGACCATCATTAGCTATCCATCAATTACAGGCAAACATCCAAAGATATCATTTTTCTTTTGTAACATGATTGGATAAAAAAGCCTGAACTTCAAGCTGCCTAATTAGTAAAACAAAAAGCTACCAAAACCGATAATTCGGATATATCAAGAGATCCATTAATGGTAGTTATTAATTTTCCACCATATGTATTAAAAAAAAATCACAAAATTTCTCAGCTTCATATAAGAGTCTTCACCCAAATTTATTGTTCATGAAAACAATCACAATACACTAGCAGTCAAAGACATTATCTCACACACTACAACACAGAAAAAATACTCAAAATTTCACACGAAAAATCCCGAAACATGTAATACATTCCCCGAATAAATTCGCCTCATCAAAATCAGCAACACAAACATAAATATAGGAAAACATTAAAAGCACTACCAAAATAATTAATTAAACTGAAAAACCACAACATAGAACTAATGAATTAATGACTAAACAAAAAAAACAAAACAAAAGAAGTAGCAAAGTATTACCTTGCTAAGCATGACAACAAGAAAACCATCTTCAGTAACCTTGCTATCAGCTAAAGTAGTCTCATCTTTCAATACTTTCCCATTATGAATCAACAATTGTTGTCCACATGGGTAATTGTCTTTTCCTTGCGCATCTTCAATATTCTTCTTTACGCCCATAATCTTCACATATTTTATGATTAAAATCACTAAAAAAAATTGTGGTATTAATTATAGTTATAATTATAATTAAGTTAGGTTTAATTACTTACAGTGTCGGTGGGATGAACCTTAATTTCGAAATGGCTGCCTTTCAGAGTCTTGACCGTGAGCTTCATTGTCGACGAATATGGGGGAGAGACGCAAAAACGACAGCGTTGTTAGGAGGAAACCCTAGAGAGAACCAGAGTGTGCTGGCTGTGGCAGGTACAGGAATCTATAAAGAGCTAGCAGAGGCAAGGGGAGTGTGAATTTTTGGGTTTAAATTCACTCCAACCACATTTTACTTTTGGTGTTTTACCGTTATGCAATAGCTAATACTAACTAAAAATAAAAAAAATATTAATTAAAACAACTCAGGCAAGCACGGTATGTTATGAGGAAAAATATGATCTATTCGCCTGATATCTTACTTTTATTGTTTTAGTTTTTTTTTATAATTATTTTTATAATAATTTTGCTAGAAATCAATGGATCAAAATTAAAAAAAAAATGAAAAGCTTTTTGCTCTTAAAAAACTTTGGTGAAAATTATGTTTCTCTCTTTTTTTTTCCTTTAATTATTTTTTTAATTTAATCATTCAATATTATATTTATTGGAATTTATGATTGATAATTTATTTTGATCTATTTTTTATTTGGTTGTTTTAATCTTAAAAAGAAAATTTTACCATTGAATGATACTTGATTTAAAAAAATTGATCTTATTATTTAAAGAAAATTAAAATTAAAAAAATTAAAATTGAAATAGATAAAAATGAGAGGAATTTTTTAGAAAACAAATTTGTGTCTGTGCCTTTATGCAAGAGATTTTACCAAATTTCCTTCTTGATTGTTTTAGTTTGGAGATTAAACAATTTAGCTCAAAATTTTATTTTGATCTTGTTTTAGTTTTTGAGTTTTGAGAAGAGATCCCAACTTGTGTGTGTGTGCATATATTAAATTATTTAGTAGTTTTATTTACTAATATATATATATGTTCTTATTGTTATTTCTTACTTGTGTTTTTATGATATTTTTGCATTTTTCAAAGAAAAAACCCATTTCTTAAAAAATGCATTATGTTTCTTTAAAAAATATTCATATTCTTAAAGAACCTGTTTTATCAAACAATTTATAAAATGCTTTGGGGATGTGGAGACTTATGAACTAAGTGCTAGTATAAAATATATATAAAAATGTGTATTCAAAGAAAAATAATTAAAATCTCTCATATTTCTAATTTTCAAATGTAACTATGTTGAAATTCATGTTTATACGGTTATAAAATATCTTTGAAGTTATTTGACAAATTCCCAACAATAAGCTTTAGCATTTTTAAATATAATATTTTCTGGTTACTAATACTATTATTAAATAATTACCACCCAAAAGGAAAATAAAAGATATTCATTTAAAAGTTAATTAGTGATTCTGAAATGTTAAATAAATTCATTTAATGAATTATAAAGAATAATATTTATTTATATATATACTCTATAACAATGATAGCTACGTAGCAACCAAGTATAATTTTGATAGCCAAAAACTTTCTTGTTGTCTTGAGGAAGAAATAATATTATTAAAACGGTAAAGAAATCATTTTACAGTAATTACAAGCTTACAAGTATTTACACTTATTTTATCATAAAGTTATCTTATTATTAATTTTATAAATTTGAGAGTATTATAATTATAATATCTTGAAGTAGTCATAACAAGTTATCTTATTATTAATTTTATAAATTTGAGAGTATTATAATTATAATATCTTGAAGTAGTCATAACAAGTCCCCAAAGAATTCTTTCTTTTAATAACATTCTACATAACAACAATGATTTATTGGTCTTACAATCCTGCGAAGCCAAGAAATCTGATAAGATCATATTGAAACCAACAATGAGCTTGAGAAGGGGAGAATCAACCAGCAAAAAATCACAGTTCTTAAACATGCAAAATCAGAATTCCTTAATTTCTAAGTACTGGATTATGCCTCCCAATGTACGGGCACCTCAAAATAAGACCATCGTTTTGACAGTCTACAGAGATTAGAAACAATTCAAGAACAAACCACCCCTGAGCCTCAGAAACGACCAGCCATGAAGCCAAATCAAGCAAGTTCATAGTGCAGAGAGTCTAGATTCACAGTGCCAAAACAGTTCTTTTCCCACGCGATTTAGAGTATAAGGTAATAATGTAATATAACACCATCTGTAAAACCTTCTAGTCTTAGTTCATAAGAACTTATACGTATACCTGCAGAAACAAATTAGCTTTCCTGATGGCAATGTTTTCAGCTTCGTTTAGATTCTTTGAAACCCATAGGACATGAGAGCATACACTTAAAATTACCTGCTGAATGCCTGAGAACCCCTCCAATGCTGCGCTTGTCCCTATTTCCCAAGGGCAGAACCATCTATTTTCCACTTCAAGTGCCAAACGTGGTAGGTCTAGTTCTCCTCGGGTTAACGCTTTTTTATCAGAGCAATTTCTTTCTTTTGCAAACAATTAGGCAAGCAGCTTTGCTGACGCCATGTGAATCAATGACCAGTATTCAATTCTGTGTAATGGGCAGTATTCAATTCTTAAAGTAGCTGATAATTTATAGGATGTGACTAGCTGTGGAAAACATGAACTAGAAGATCACGAAGCCTCTGCATGCTCCTCCTGAATGGATTGTGTTTTTGGTTAAATCTATCATCTTCACTGTCACTTTGTTTTTACCGGTTAGACTTTGGTTTTTTTTTTTTAATTTGGTTTTTTTTTTTAATTCGAGAAAATTTTAATTTTTAAAAAGTATATTTTATGAGTTTAGATAAAGAAGTAAAATTTTAGTTATTTTTAACTTTTATAAAATATATATGTCTTGATTTAAATTCAAAATCTTGAGACGTGTTGTGATGATCTTAAATATTACGAACTGTACCTTTTAAAATTTTAGTTTTATTTGATATGAATTTAGAGTTAAAGTTGATCAATAATCAGGTTTTTTTATGCATAAATTATGAAAACTATAAAAAATAAAATAAAATTAATGGGATTATTCAATCATCTTAATTATATATTTAACTCTATTTATTTCTATTTATTTAAAAAAGAAAAGAAAAGAAAAGGCAATTCAAGGATGAATTAAATAATAAATTATATACATAATGCTTGTCTTTTTCAAAGATCAACTAAACTTGATAGGATTAAGCGTGGGTGATGAGCAAAAGGAATTAATAACTTAAAGGAGAATTGGAGATTTCCTGCAGGGTGGTGGGTTCGTCCAACTGGCTACGAGATTCTCCATTTTTATTGTTATTTTTATCCGAAAGTATTATCTTTATCCCGAAGCTTTTAATGGCATTAATTTCTACCACAGCCCTACGATGTTGATGTTTACGAATACCAGCCTGCTAGGCTCCCATGCAATTTGCTCTATGCACCATATGGATAAAGTTTGCGTTCTTAATTATCATGCTTCAGGGATTATAGTTCCGCCTTTAATTAATTAATCCTTTCCTTCTAATCATCCACAAATAATTAATGTCCATTAATTAGTTATTCCTTCGATAACGATGGTGGATCGATAGGGTAGATTGTATTGGATATTGCTTTTATGATACATCATTTAATTAATTAAAAATAACTTGCCAATTAATCTATTAACAGGTGTCCAAGCAGCACTGTTATCCATTCCATTATCTATTTCTTAAACGGAATTATAATTCCAGATTAAAGTTAGACTCGCACTGTGATCTTGATCAAAGAGTTTTTGATTTTTAGAAGGAAGATATTTTTCTTAGTTAATTTTATGTTATTTTATTTTATTTTATTATGTTTTTATAGATTTTGTGTCTATTTAAAATGATTTTTAATTTTTTCTTTCAAATCAGTATTTCTAGATTTTTCTATTTTTTTATTGTTTATACAAAGGGTTTTGATTATTTTTTTTCGACAACAGAAACTCTGATAAATAAAAATTGAATTTTTAAATGTCTTCCCAAATTATGTTATTAGCTTTTTAGAGTTTTGATTTATAACAAGCTCTATTAATCTTTGCTTTTATGTCTTAGTTGTTTTGGATGAAGATTGTAAATGATATATATTGTCACTTAATATTTTTTTTATAGTTAGTTAAAATATATTGTTAAATAACTATAGTCGAAAGAAATCATAAAATAAGACAAGCTTAAATATAAAGGGAATAGGAGGTCCCCTCTCTCGAAAGTGATGTGTAAAACTAGTATATCTATTATTTTCATTTAAACTAGTTACTATTTCTGAAAATTTTAATGGTAAGATCCATGATAAGTTACTCTATTATGAGAATGATATAGTATGATAAGTGAAACGTTTCAATATAGAGCTATTTTTATATATGGTGTATTAGGAATTTTTGGAATATCAAAATAGCCAAAAACAAAATTTTATTTGTGAAACAAGCTATAAGTTGGTCTTGTAATTATAATCTCACTTTCACCCATCTTGCTCAATTGATTAAGGG